GTCCTGACCGATTGACTGACTTAGGAAGCTGAAATTACCACTTTAACAAAATAGTATGGGTAGATTTAAGTTGTCTACGTTGGAAAACGGGCGAGAAAGAGAAATGGGCAAGAAAGTGAAGAGGCTGACACAATTTTTAGATAGCCAAGGCACATTTTGTTATACACATATTAAAAGCACGAGATCCTTACTTGAAATAATGAGAGTTGCAGAGTAGGTCGATTTTTAAAGATACATTCTAATTTGTAGCGTGACGGGAAGTATATTTGGTTTGCCTTTGTGAAAATCTCAGTCCTTCAAGTCTTCATTTATAATAAAGTCACCATTTATAAATCCTGCATAGCTCCCGCCTGGCGTTATGGTATCCAGGTATATGGCATTGCTGCAAAGTCCAGTCTTTCAAAAATCAGGGTGCTCCAAGCAAAAACGCTCCGATATCTGTCTGGTGCCCCCTGGTATATGAGAACCTCCGACTTGGAAAAAGACTTAGGAGTGCCCAAAGTCGGGGACATAATAAATATACAGGCCGCAAATTATATAGCGCGACTGAGAAGTCATCCTAATCGACTGGCTAGGCGTCTTCTGAATAGGCGCAGAATTGGAGGATTCCGAACGCGGAGGAGACTACGAAGGTCTCACCCAATAGATCTCCCAGATCGATTTATATAGTTGACACTGTAAATTTGTATATAAGACTTACCAGTAGAATAAGTAGATTGTAAATATTCATACAAATTTAATTTAAGTTGTTCCAGATAATAACAGAAAAATTAAAATAAAGCTAAAAAAAAAAAAAAAAAAAAAAAAAAAAAAAAAAAATCATTTATAATAAGGCATAAAATATATAGCATGAAGTAAGGCTTTATAATGAATTATTCGGTATATCCAAATTAGTTTAGAATCGAGAGATTCTGTTCTGCCGATCAGTTGTAGAAGGATTTTCCCAAGTAGTTGTTTAAATCTCATTATTTCTCATTTACTTGTAATATTTTCATATCAATTAGGAAGGACACTAAATATGAGTTTGACTTCAATCTTAGGGAAGTATAGCAAGGCTGTCGCTTAAACGGCTATAACCATGCCAAGACAATGTCCTTTCCTTCTTGAAATGCTTCATTTGTCATAGATATAGATTTAAATGTGTCAACGCTGAATGCAATGTGCTTGCTGCCCCAGTCTTCCCAGCTGGTGCTTGAAAAGCAATAACTCATAGACAAGACACTCGAGTGCTGACCAATGCGAAGCGTTGGTCACATAAATGTCACTGCATGTGGCACGAATGTGTTGCAATTGTGTTGAAATTGGGCCGCAAATAAACACGTAACAAACGGTTCGCATTGCTATCGAGTGTTGCCGCCTGCAAGTATGCAACATTCACGATTCAATTACTAGGTACACACACCCACACCCATACACTGGCAAAAAATAGTGCACCAGCATTGCACACAAAATATCTATTAATGCCCCATATATATAGCAGAGGCCTTAAGCTTGCTACAAATATTCAATGTGTGCACACAATTCAGTGCCAAATGGGATTTTGGGCTAACAGCAACAACAACAACAAGAGGAGAGGCAAGGAGAACTGCACAAAATCGACTAAACTTTATGTTCATGTTAGGAAAAGTGCTGGAAAACAGCAGCCGTAGCAGCAGCCGCAGTGGCAGCGGCAGCATCTACAGCCAACACACGGAAGTGAAAACATTTCACACTCCAATTGCTCTATCTTTGCCCCTGGCCACACACCCTTTGCAGCTGCCACAATTTTTGCAAAAGTTTACGTTGGGACAGGCGGCACATAAAATAGTTTTAAATAAGAAAGGCGAAGGCAAATAAACAATTCTATTTTTCTTGCTGCCCAGCGTCGAGGCGCACGGGGCGTTTGGCTCAGCATTTCGTTTTCGGGGCGTGGCAAGGACAGTGTGTGTGCAATAAATGTAAAGCTGCTGGGCGCATGAAACTGAAAATTTTCTGTAGCATACTTTGCGGCAACAGCCGCATGCATTGGCACACTAACACACAGTGCATTGTGTATATTTCTCTCTCTCTCTCTCTCCAATTGTGTGCGTCTGTGTAACGCGGCTTCCGTTTAGTTGGCCGTGTGAACTATTTACATGCACACACGCACACAATGCCATTTTTAAAGGCAGTTAAGTCCATTTAAAGCTTTTATTATACGCCGGCCATGGCGGCGCTGACATTGTAAATCACACACACACACACACACACACACATACACACACCCACACACGTCCGGTTGATTTAAATTTAAATGCGCGTGTTGTAATTAAATTGACTTTTCGATGTTGTTTTTGCACAGCGGAAAGCCAAATGCCAAAAATTATGCAACACATGCGAGTGCGCGAACAGCTGTTGACATTTTCCACCAGCGGCCATTTTGTAGTCTGCGCCAACACCAACAGCCGCCGCACTGGCTGTCATTATCTGACAGAGCGAGATCGGCAGATAGCGCCAGCGAGTGAGAGTGAGACAGAGCTACATAAACGAACTGCCATTGAGATGTGCAATTTTAACGCCTCGGAGCACACACAAATCGAGCTGGGGAACTGCAGAAAAAAAGGATTTGCATGGGTTCGAGGCACAGCTTATGACAACATTTTAATATAATGTCAAACATTGTTTGCGCAGTGCCATATTCAATTTCGTATCCAATAATGAATTCTTTGCCATAGCACAAGAATTCGGTTAGCATTTCCATGCATTTATTTGCCCATTTTTGGGGGCAGTTTAGAGCCACAAAATGGTTTATTATACCGCCGCCGCCATTGCTGTTGTTGAATTTTGCGGTCGTTCGTCGTTCGCGCTCTCTCTCAGAATAATAAAAAAAAAAAACTGAAACTGAAAATAAATAAATGATACATAGCAAAATTGGAGCGTTTGCGACAGGCTGCCATTTGCATTGGTCCATGGATGGTTCAGTTTGGTTTGGTTCTAGGCATAAATTCTATTATAAATAACATTTAGCGCACGCGATTTTGGCAACTGTCAGCTATGGAAATTGGAAAATATATATACATATATATACCCATATAAATGCAGAAAAATAGAAACAGCAAATGTATGTATATAGTATAGTATATACGTCGACTGCAGAAAATTCAAATTGCGGTTTCTGGATTGAAATAGTGCACGTTTTTGGAATAAGTGCGTGTGAGTGTGCGTGAGAGTGTGGGTGTGCCTGTCTTGTTGTTTGCAGCTGACGCATAATCAGATTTCCAAAATTAAATTTGCGGTTATGGAGCCCAAGATAGGCTGAAACAATTAACGAATGCTTCTGACATGGTCATGTTAGCACTAAATAAGTCCAAATAGCTTGTTTAAAGTAAAGCTAAGCGAAGTGTTTTGTAAATTAAGTTTATCAAGATGACCTGCATATTAAAATAAATGTTCTTATTAAAGAACTACATATTTAGAGAATGTTCATCATGCAGAAGTGAAAGCATCTTTAGGTTGATTGCTCTTTAACTCTCCAGTTTGTCACGATATTCCACCAAAGATGTCGCATTCAATCAGCATAATGAAATGGACGTGCCTGTTCAATTAACTTGCCTTTCCAACAATAACAAGCGATAATTAAGGTTTAATAAACTGTTTGAGTTCGCTATTACGTACATTACACATCCGACACGTGTGATGATGTGAGTTTAAGTGTGCATGTGTGTGTGTGTGTGTGGACTGTGTTAGTGTGGGCTGTGAGCCATGCAAATTAATCAAATTAGCATCGTTAAGACTTGGCATGCGACTTGTAATTGACTTAAAGCCCAACATATAAGCAGCACGATATCACAATTACTTCATTTTATATAGTATACAAAATGCAGAGCATGAAACTGGAAAGTCGCCAAATTAATATTTGTTTTTTTATTTTTTTATAAATGTTTATTGTATTGAATCAAACGTACATTTTTATCACAACATAGTTGACTTAGGTGATATTTCGCCAAGCCTGGTTGGGTCCATAGGCTTTATCGTGGACATATGTCAAAGGCGTCTTTTTTTAATAAGGCTGCCTCATCACGTAGGTGGTATGGGGACTCTGGGGCGCGTCCTATGCCGTGGTTTGAGAAGGTCCTTGAACGATCTTTTCTTGGGTCTCCCGACTACACACCTCCCAGCGAGGTCTCTCTCTGTCGCTGCAAGCGATCATTGTGTCGGCTTGCTTCGACTTGGCTGTCTACAGTCTTCATTTTGAGGTCTCTGTGCAAGGAAGAATTTCCGACGTACCAGTCGGCACTGGTCATTCTGGCAATGGGCTGTTGTGCCTATGCTTTCTTCAAGTGGCACTGCTTGACAAGGCCGTCGATGTGCGCCCGAAAGGTAAACCTCTTATCCAGTGCAATTCCAAGATACTTGGCCTTTCTGCCAGGGTGAAGGGGGTTACCATCTATCCAGACTGCTGGAGCTTTGCCACGCCTCAGTGTATAGTTGACCGCCTGGCTCTTAACATTGAGCTTGATGCAAGCTAGTGAAAAATAAATATTGAAATTTGGCGCCTCTTGTTTAGAAAAATGTATATGGTATAAATATATTGTTTTCGGGAATACATTCATTTTTTCTACTGAAACCTTTAGATAAGCATGAAATTGGCCATAAAAACACATGTTGTTTATAGATCTGATTATTTCCAAACATTTACGGGTAGGCTGCCGCGCCAGTTTGAAATATCTAAAATTTTGTAAGGCAATTCGGGGATTTTAAAATGTTTTTGAGTTGGAACCTAAGAATGAAATTTTAATAGGATTTTAAGAAAATTAAAACTGAAATTTACAATAATTCAACCGCACTAAACGGATATCTTGATGCATGCCCGTCGAGCATTTTGTACACTTTATCAAACGAAAGCATGTCACGCAAATCTAACGCTGTCACTGTCACGTATTAAAAGAACTCGATTAAAATAATGTTCTAATTAATTGCTTTTATTTTAAGTGCAAAATGTGAAAGCCCTCGCTCAGTTACACATTTGGACTGGGCTCATAATGTTGTCCTTTAAGATGTATGTGATTAATCTGCTTCTTCTGCTGCTTCTAACTGGCCAATTGCTCACGGATTCAGCATTGAGAACTTCAAAAATTGACTTTATTAACAATATCATTGCGAAAGTTCAGAACGAGAGGCCCGTGGAGACGCTGTTGTTCATGAAACGTCGAAAGGACATCAACTGCCTCTTGCAAGAGATCAGTCCAGTTGGCCTAGCTACTCTACGCTTAGATGAAAGGACCGTCGTCAATGTAAAAAGGCTCTTCAACAGCGAGGCCCTCGCTCTGGCTTGCATGTCCAAGCTCTCCGACTCCCAGCTGCTCACGACAGTGGCCCAGAATCTCGACAGAATGAGAGAGGCGCGTATTGTAATCTTGTCGCAAATTACACCATCCAATCTTGAGGAGTTTCTACGCATCGTCAGTGAGCAAGCGAATGAATATAACTTGGTTAATTTGATTGTGCTGTACTCAACTTCGTACGATGTCAATGGATCGATTACTGCATATCGCCTACAGCCGTTTCCGAGTCCGATTTTCGAAAGGGTTTTGGACATAAATGACGGTCCTATATTTCCCAAGGTCTGGTTGAATTTTCATGGAAGGACAGCAGTCATCTTGCCTGATCTATTTCCACCTCGCAGCATGTTGATAACTAACCCACGCACTGGAGAGCAAAAGCTTTGTGGATCCTCAGATCAATTTATTATGGAGTTTGCACAGAAAAGCAATATTAACTTGCAATGGCATCATCCCTTAGGCAAAATCAGGAGTATAGACATTAGCGATGTATATAATATAACAAAACAGGGTCTCATTGACTTGCCTATCCGACCCTTTTCACAGACAGCGTGGACTCTGCCAGCCAATATAGAATATGTAAATGTTATACGTCTTTCAAATGTTTTTGTTATAGTTCCTTGTGGAAATGAAATGAGAATAGGTGATGTGTACACAGGCTTGAGGACATACTCCACAATCGTCTTGGGCTCATATTTTATGCTTGCCATAATTGAAACCTTATTCGTTTGCGCAACAAATCATATATTTCGGCGAAGACCCCTTTTAACATACTCCACCCTAGTATTAAATCTACGCGCTTTGGCTGGCGTTATGGGACTCCCAATGACCTTTAGGCGATATAGAACTAGTATTTCACTGCAGCAGATTATAATGGTTATGAGCATTTTCAGCTTAGTTCTCAGCAGTTATTTCAATGCCAATCTGAGCACGCTGCTGACCAAGCATCCTCAGTTTAAACAGATACAAAACTTCGAGGAACTGCGGAGAAGTGGATTAACTGTTGCGTTCGATAGGAGCCTTAGGGCTGCCCTAAATAGAGAAATCGGGAAAATAGATTTCGAAAAGTTATTGCCGAATATCACATATTTGCCAACTAAACAATATGTAAATCAAATATTGACTTTAAATTCCACCTATGCATACCACATGCATACAAATATGTGGGAAATTTTGGACCGTTATCAAAAATCGCACAATCGAATTGTGTTGTGCAAGTCGCGTAGATTAAACTTACTTGGCGATGCTCCTCTTAGTAATATCCTAAAGAAAAACTCCATTTATAGGGAGGCATTTTTGGATTTTGTGCATGATACTAACAGATTTGGCCTTTACAAACATTGGGAATTCACGGCAGGACAAAACATGATGTCGAACGTACATTCTCGTTTGGCGAACACAAGTCTAGCAGACAATCTGGAATTAAAGCCCATGCCCCTAAATATTGAGGACTTGAAATGGCTATGGAAACTGCTTGGCGTATGCTACGGTGTAGCAGGTTTGGTTTTTATTGGAGAAATCTGCTTAGCCCATTGGCAAAAGAAACGAGCTGACAGAGGTGATTTTATACCAACACAGTATATACCCTAACCGTAGAATAGAGAATTTGTTGCGATATAACTACTTGTAATAAAAAATTTAGATTGTCTAAATGAAATAATCTTTTTGTTAGTTGGTGGCGTAACTCGTATTTATGCCATCGACAGCGACACTTTTAGGTCTATTCTGCGATTGCTTGACCAGAAAGGATTGAAATATTTTACTTACCCGCTCAATGTAGACAGACCATACCAAGTGGTCATTAAAGGTCTTCATCATTCGATCACGGAAGATGAGCTCAAAACTGAGTTAAAAATGTTGGGACATGAAGCAGTTCTTAGCCCCCGCCCCATAAATCGTACCTATAAATCTGTTCTTTGTGAACCTCTCTACAGCAAAAAACAAAGCCGAGAGGAAACAAAGCCGAGAGCATGGAAAAAGCAAGACATTATCCACTGCCGGCACTGCCAGCCAAACGCCCCAAACACCCAAATCTATACCGGAAGTTCCTTTTCAGCGGTGATTGGAACGCCAAGCACAAGCTCTGCGGAGAGCAGCGGTGCAACCAGAGAGGTAAGAAGTTTGCAGCATTTGTCCTATACTCAAATGTGGACGTGTTAGCTACTGGCTCACGATATACCCATGCAGAGCTAATAACAACCCAAGCTGCCTGGACTTCGCTGTCTACAAAAACATGCCTTAATGGAAGCTCTACATGCTTCATCGGTCGCTACACAAATCAACAAGAGCTGAACTCCTGTAAAGATATAGACGATGCCTTGGTTATTTTCACAAGCAAAGTTCGCAGAGCCGCTATTGAAGCTTGCCACACCGTCTCCAGGTATCCTCAACACATTAATGGTAGACTCCCGTTCTCAACGTAAGAGAGTGCAAGTTATGCCAAATATAGCATTAAGCCTAATCACGGATTGTCCATGGTATGTCAGGAACTCAACTCTGCATAGAGATTTGAATCTGGCGGTTGTCGAGGACCTGATCGCCGCCCACTCAAGCCGATACAACGATCAACTGTTGGTTTACGGCAATCAATATAAAAAAAAGATAAAATTTACAATATTTTTTAATAAGGTTATAGCTGGTATTTATTGGCCTTGCTTGGTTCAAGCAATATGAAAATAAGTTAGAAGTCCATCAAATTAAGAACCAAAAGTTAAAATTAACATTTTGTGCACATTTCACTGCCTTGGCGAAATTTTCAAACCCGAAGAAAATATGTATGTTTTTGGTATTGTGGGCTGTGTCACATTTTGGTTGCGTATAGTTCTCTATAGGTAATAGCTTCAAACTATAAAACAGGGCTTGGAAATCTAGAAAGAAACTTTGAGTTTTCCTCGTTATATTTCGGCTACACTTCGGTAACAGTCTTCTTCTTCAGAAAAACAATTAACATCAAGATAAATTAGATTAAATTCTTTTGCAGCGTTGAATTGTTATAAAATATAAATTCAACCATACTAAACGGATATCTTGATGCATGCCCGTCGAGCATTTTGTAGACTTTATCAAACGAAGGCATGTCACCTTTGTTAATCTAAGATCCACTGTCAATTATGCCGAGAACTCGATTAAAATAATGTTCTAATTAATTGCTTTTATTTTAAGTGCAAAATGTGAAAGCCTTTGCTCAGTTACACATTTAGACTGGGCTTATAATGTTGTCCTTTAAGATGTATGTGATTAATCTGCTTCTTCTGCTGCTTTTAACTGGCCAATTGCTCACGGATCCAGCATTGAGAACTTCAAAAATTGACTTTATTAACTATATCATTGCGAAAGTTCAGAACGAGAGGCCCGTGGAGACGCTGTTGTTCATGAAACGTCGAAAGGACATCAACTGCCTCTTGCAAGAGATCAGTCCAGTTGGCCTAGCTACTCTACGCTTAGATGAAAGGACCGTCGTCAATGTAAAAAGGCTCTTCAACAGCGAGGCCCTCGCTCTGGCTTGCATGTCCGAGCTTGCCGACTCCCAGCTGCTCACGACCGTGGCCCAGAATCTCGACAGAATGAGAGAGGCGCGTATTGTAATCTTGTCGCAAATTACACCATCCAATCTTGATGAGTTTCTACGCATCGTCAGTGAGCAAGCGAATGAATACAACTTGGTTAATTTAATTGTGCTGCACTCAACTTCGTACGATTTCGATGGATCGATTACTGCATATCGCCTACAGCCGTTTCCGAGTCCGATTTTCGAGAGTGTTTTGGACATAAATGACGGTCCTATATTTCCCAAGGTCTGGTTGAATTTTCATGGAAGGACAGCAGTCATCTTGCCTGATCTATTTCCACCTCGCAGCATGTTGATAACTAACCCACGCACTGGAGAGCAAAAGCTTTGTGGATCCTCAGATCAATTTATTATGGAGTTTGCACAGAAAAGCAATATTAACTTGCAATGGCAGCATCCCTTAAGCAAAATCAGGAGTATGGACATTGGCGATGTATTTAATATAACAAAAACGGGTCTCATTGACTTGCCTATCCGACCCTTTGTACAGACATTGTGGCCTCCTACAGCCAATATAGAATATGCAAATGTTATAAGTCTTTTCAACATTTTTGTTATAGTTCCTTGTGGAAAGGAAATGAGAATAGGTGATGTGTACGTAGGCTTAAAAACCTACTCCACAATCGTCTTGGGCTCATATTTTATGCTTGCCATAATTGAAACCTTATTCGTTTGCGCAACAAATCATATATTTCGGCGTAGACCCCTTTTAACATACTCCACCCTAGTGTTAAATCTACGCGCTTTGGCTGGCGTTATGGGACTCCCGATGCCCTTCAGACGACATAGAACTAGTATTTCACTGCAGCAGATTATAATGGTTATGAGCATTTTCAGCTTAGTTCTCAGCAGTTATTTTAATGCCAATCTGAGCACGCTGCTGACCAAGCATCCTCAGTTTAAACAGATACAAAACTTCGAAGAACTGCGGAGAAGTGGATTAAGTGTTCTGTTCGATAGGAGCTTTGAGGTTACCCTTAAGACAGAAATCGGGAAAAAATATTTCGAAAAGCTATTGCCGAATGCTGAATATGTGCCAACAAAAGAATATGAAAATAGAATATTGACTTTAAATTCCAGCTATGCATACCACATGCATACAAATATGTGGGAAGTTTTGGACCGTTATCAAAAATCGCACAATCGAATTGTGTTGTGCAAGTCGCATGGATTAAACTTACTTGGCGATAGTCTAGTTAGTAATATCCTAAAGAAAAACTCCGTTTATAGGGAGGCATTTTTGGATTTTGTGCATGATACTAACAGATTTGGCCTTTACAAACATTGGGAATTCACGGCAGGACAAAACATGATGTCGAACGTACATTCTCGCTTGGCGAACACAAGTCTAGCAGACAATCTGGAATTAAAGCCCATGCCCCTAAATATTGAGGACTTGAAATGGCTATGGAAACTGCTTGGCGTATGCTACGGTGTAGCAGGTTTGGTTTTTATTGGAGAAGTCTGCATAGCCCATTGGCAAAAGAAACGAGCTGACAGGGGTGCCCTAAGATAGATAATGTTGCAATAAATGTATTTGCAATAAGAAGTGTAGATTGCTTATAATAAGATTAACTTGTAGTCTTTTATTCAATTTAATAAACTTGAAATCAAGTAACTAGATGGTATTGACCTGCCTTGGCGGCCCAGGTTTAATTTCTCAGACCCATTTCCCCCCATGGAGAATCAAGATCTACTACTACTATTTATACTTATGCTTAACATCTGAACTATTTAACAAAGATATTTGAAAATGAGTTTGAAGTCCATTGAATTAAGAAATAAAAATTTAAATCCACATTTTTCTTTCTTGACGAGAATTTTGAAGCAGAAACAGAATCTCTTTTATTGAGGTTTTTGCGCAAAGTGGGAAGCACCTCTCAAATGGATGCTCAAAAAGATCATTAGATAAAATTGGAATTTAGAATTTCACCATCAGTTTCTACCAAGGTAGTGTGGAGTTTCTGAAAAGATCTTTGCAAATGCACTTACGCAAGAAAAGTATATGTCAAATGAATATTTGGGGAACAAATCTAGAGTCCGTAGTGAAGGTTGCGGGTGTTAGAACAGGAAGGTACTTTAAGTAGATATACGGACAATCTGCACACTTAAGGAGTTTATACCTTCTCGTTGATGGTTGTTATGAACAACGTTAGCTTACACTAGAAAATGTCATTATTTATATACATATTTATTTATTTCATAATATATTTTACCCTATTAAAGTTTATATTGCAAACCAATTGGATTCTTTTGTGGGGCCTATCGATAGGCGATTATTGCCAAACGAATTTCACTTGCACGACAAAATTTTCTCGTCGCCACGTTAGCCGCAGAGCAGCTGGCTTTTTAGTCGTGAAAAGTTTGTTGCGCAGCTTGGTCCGTGCGCCGTGTGCTTTTTGTGTGGTAAAAATGTTTTTGCCGTGTTCATTTGTTGCGCATACGCCACATGCGCCGCGCGTGTTGCGAGAGATTAACAAGTGTTTCCGTTTCCAATGACAAATTAATCTGTGTTAGTAGACGCTTGCCCCAACACGGGCGGAAAGTGCAATCAGACATTGACAAATGTTGCAAAACTGAAAAATAAATAAATAAATAACTCGTGTATATAACAATAAAATTGTGTCTTATCAAAGATGTGTTGTAAATTCTGATAGAATTGTTGAATGTGTGTTAAGTGTGTATGTCGATCATTCGTAACTGTAGGTTGGCTAGTGTATGAATATTCCTGTTTATTACTTAAACAGTTACTCGCAATTAATTAACACTTGCTTGTGCTCCGATTAGTTCTAGCAAATACTCAATTAATTTACTCAACACCTCAGCGCAATTTAATGTCGCATGTCGCAATATTTTATGCGCTGTCACACGCTTTAATAGCTTGAAATATTTTTCAACAGTTTTTTAAATTTATGCCCCTCTTCCCCCACTCCACGCTCTAGCTTACAAATCCGTTTTATGCGTATTCATAATTTGGCCAACAATTTTGATCACCTTCGTGGGTCCATCTTCGGTTTATTTAGCTACAAATTATATGTAAAACTGAATGGCGCACCGAATTGTTTATAAAAGTCACAAATGCTAAGCACAAAAAGCTTAACAAAAGTCAAAAGCAAAACATTAACCCACACACGCCGACATGTTGCAGCTCATGGAATAAAACGCTGACCAGCCAGCCAGCCAGCGGCTCTGCTAGGTCTGGCATCAGTCAATGTCAGTTGGCCCGCTGCCAGTTGGGCGGGGGCGTAGACAAACAAAAGGGAAAGTGTGTGACGACATGGCTGCAGTCGAGTGGGGAGGAAAATTTAGAAAATTACAGATGCGCTACAGAGTAACTGAAAAGTTGCTCAAATCAACAACAAAAATGCTCCAAAGCAATTTTCAATTGTTTTTTTCGGACGTCAAGTATCAAGTGGCAGGCCGCAGTTATTATCTCTCTCTCTCTCTCTCTCTTTTCCATAGATATATATATGGAAGACATATGTTAAACAACGACAATGCTTGCCTGGCATATTTTATCTATTATTTTATATATTATTGACTTCTTGTTTTGCTTTTGCCAGCTAGCACATTTTTTAAATACTTACGACTGGACTGGCATGGCATTGGCCCAAGTGCAAAATTTATTGGTCCATTTATAAATTTGACTGTTCCGCTGCTTTTGTCGTAAAACTTTTCAAGTTTATGCTTAAATCTTTTTCGGAATTGTGCAATAATTGGCAATGATATGCTATGTAAATACAACAAATTATGACGCGGCCATCCGGCAAAGGCTGTAAACTTGATCGACTTTCAAATTGGGTCAGTTGTGGCTGGGCTGTTGGTTGACTTGCGTGGCGCCACAAGCAAAACATAAAAATTAAATAGTTAACTATATATTAAATATGTATTATACAACTGGCGTGTACAAACCGCCTTTACAACACTTTTTCATTTGAGTGAAAATCTTAATCTCTTTGTTTTCCCCATATTCGCCGAGACAAGCTTTTAAAAAAGGAGTTGGTAATCGCAGCTAGATTACCTTTGTCCTCCATTTAACACCTTTATTGAATATACACAAAGCTCATTGAACGAAATTAGTTGAGAGCCGATTGAAAGTCAGCCAAAAATATTTCTTACAAACACTATCCGCTTATTTTTCACAATTGCTAGTGGAATTTTCCAAATCCCTTTTTTAATAGTGCAGTCAGTCAGTCAATCAATCAGTTAAGCAAGAAGGCTTTTTCTTAAACATAAATGTATTTATTGTGCTTAGATATATCTTCCGATCATACAGTCCAATTGGCTTTAACTCAGCTGAACATATTGCTTTCATTTGTTGCTGCATCATTTCCGTTTGTCGGATTTGCTTATCTTTAAGTTTCGCTGCCAAAATCCAACCTCAAGGCTGCCTCTGCCCCCCTCAGCCAACCGAGGCACGATTGACGTTTTCCAAATTTTGCGAAAATTTTCGTGCAGTTTATGTATATTTTTAGCTTTTATCTATTTTGAAAATAAATAGATTTCAATGGAAGCAAAATGCGCACCAATTGCGCCGCAAAGTTCGCGAAAATCCCAGGCACCGCATTTCGCTGTGCCCCATCAATTAGTGGCACAATCAAATGCAACGCGCCGAACAGCCCGTTTGTGTGCCCGTTGTGTCTACTTATAAAACACACGCTGCCTTTTCGCATCATTTATGGTGACGTCAATGTGTTTTCCCGCTGAGCGATGGGGCCCTACACATTGTCCGCATGTATATGGGTATTACTGCCTCTAATTTTAGCGATCTCTTCTGTTGCTCTTCTGCTCTTTGAGGCACTTGCCATTTTATTTTTTTATTGCTGCCTATAATTGGTCTGTTTATGTGCAGAGACGTGAGCGCCCTGAACTTGAAACGATTTCATGTGGCACGGCAGCAATACCATGGGGCAACATAGGCTTGGAGCTAACCGCACTTGCCTGTGCCTGTGGCACACTATAGTTCTCTTTTCTTTTTTTTTCTGGGATTATGATGTTATAGACGATGCTGTGATTAGGTTTATTTTTGTCACGTTGCTGCAATTTGAACTTTGTCGGAGAGTTGAAGTGCCCGCTGACTCAGTGCAGGCGGCGACACTGCAAAAAATTGCAGGAAATATAAAGTTTTCAATTTAAGAAAATATTATAATGATATAAGCGAAAGAAATTTAGGAATTTTCCTTTAGAAATTATCGAGTGAATTGATAATATTGTGGGTAAATGCAATAAACAAATAATATAAAGGAGAGGAGGAAGAAAGAGAGCGAGAGAGAGAGAGAGTAAGCGGTAGACAGTGAGTGAGAGAGAGAGAAGGAGGGAGAGAGGGCGTGAGAGAAAGGAGGAGAGAGGGGGCAGAATGGGGCAGTGAGCAAGATGAGAGGAGGGTGAGAAAGAGAAGGGAGAGAGGGGGAGAGAGAAAGAGAGGGATAGAGAAAGTGGGAGTAGGGGTGTGTCTCGAATACTTAGTAAGTAAGCAATCATTGAAGAAAAGAGAGTGTGAACAAAAAGCAATTAAATTCAGACAAAAAAAAATTTACAGCTGGAAAGGCAGACAGACCGGAAACAAGCTGCGCTGACAAAGATCGTAATATTTTAAAAATATTTCAACTAAGTCAAAAATAAAATATAGGCAAAGCACATGTAAGCATTAATATTTATATTTAATAAATATTTTGATAAATCCTGGTTGGACCCAACATGCTCCCGACTTGCACCATGTTAACTGTCTTCAGTTTTCAATAGGGCACAGATATGGAATGTTGTTTGTCATGGGCCGAGAGCGAAGCTCA